TGTCGATCATCTTGATAAAATAATTTTTGATCATGGATTGAAAATTTCAATTTCAATCCAATCTCAATCCAATCAAACATTCAATCTCAATCTCAATATAATAATTTTTGAAGGCACCCACTGTTTCAAAACAAACAATGCCAGATTATACCTTTTTCGAAGCCTATGGTGGAAGTAAGGTTACTTGCCAAAACTCCTCCAGAAATCAATCAGCAGGGTTTTTGCAGGTTACACATTAATTGTTTATTAGAGTTTCACATTTTGAGGCTTTGCCATTTTGACATAGTTTCAACAGGATTTTTGATAAGATTTAATATAGTTTTGCTGTGGTTTCAGCAATTACTAAGGAGGTTTTGCCCACAACCTTAGACAGAATATACAGGACCCATATTATATACAGGACCCCTCTGTATATTTTTTCTTATATACAGAATAAGGTCCCATATTATATATAGAGGACCCTCCTGTATAATTTTTCTTTATAGATGGAATAAGGTCCTGTATTATATAGAGGACCCTCCTGTATATTGTCTTAATAGATGGAATATACAGAACCAATATTTATATGATGTTCATTCATCTTTTCAATTGTTTATGATTATATTTTAGCATTCAATTATTTGTCATATACTGTATTGTTATTCATTGTTACAAACATATGGTTGAATTCAATTGGCCAAAGAAAATTAAAGTAAATAAAATAGAAGCTCTATAGGGGACTTTGTTGCTTTGTAGAGGACTGCATTTATTTATTGTTATTGGTACCATAAAATGTGCTTAAAGATTTGCAAAGCCTTCTAGGTACAGAAAGAAGCAGCAGGATAGTAATAGTTTTTAAATAAATTCACAAAATAAAACACTAAAATTAATCATCACGTATATGAATTAACAAGGGTTCCATTAAAAAACATGCAGATCATAGGTGCCACTTCCAAATCAGGAAGGTCCTTTATATTCAGCCACAGGACCGGTACTGTATATAGGATCACCCAAATAATTAATAATAATAATAACATAAAATAATAACTCAACATTATCAACATTAACACTTAATACTTTTGCCAATCAGTCTTAA